TTTTAAGATGGGAACTATAAAGTGAAATGGAATAGAACTGAAAACAGCTTGTTTACTGGTAGAAAGCTCTGTAGAAGTACTGTACTATTAAGGAGTGTCCTGGCTTAGAAATGTTTCTTCTTGGGCTGGAGAGATGGCTCAGGGGTTAACAGTGCTGCCTGTTTTTCCAGAGGTCCTGAGTTCAATTCCCAACCACATGGTGGTGACTTACAACCACCTATAATGAATTCCGGTGCCCTCTTCTTGCCTGCAGGGATACATGCAGGCAGAACATTATACGTGAGACATAAATAACTCTTTTTAAAATGTGTTATTAAAAAAAAGAAATATTCCTTCTAATCTATAGAAGCTAATCATGGTGAGCATAAATTAAGACCTCAGTCTGTTTATATATTCCTGGCACATAAAGGTGTAAACTTCAAGAATTCCATAGGGCTAGAGAGATGGCTCAGTAGTTATGGCTGTACTTACAGAGGTCCTGAGTTCAATTCACAGCAAACACATGATGCCCCACACCATCTTTAGTGGGATCTGATGCCCTCTTCTGGCATAAAGTTGATAGAGCACTCATACATAAATCTTTAAAAAACTAAAAATTTCGTAAATATTTTTCAGTGAGTGCTGTTGCTTGAAGCCATAAGGGAGGTATTGAGAGTGGTGATAACTGAGATGAATTCTTTGGGAGGAGAGGCAGGCCAAATTGAATTTTGCTATTAAATTTAAAGGCTGACTTGAGAGCTTGTTTACACTTGTGATGGATTGTCCAGGATACAAACAAGTCTGTCTTTTCCTCTGCTAGTGCCAGGCTGGCCTCAAACTCACAGAGATTGTCTGGCTCTGCCTCTTGGGAGCTGGAATTGCATTTTGTTATTTGAATTTCATTTCTAGTGCAGCTAGATGTGATGTACACCTATGATCCCAGGACTTAGGAGGTGAAGGCAGAAAGGCTGGAGTTGACAATCATGACCTGTATGTCAAGTAACAGACCAACCAGCCTGGCCCTGTCTGGAACAAACAAAAAATATTAGCCAACACTTCATTAGCTGAAGAAGATTCAGCCAGGAGGAAGGAAAGACTAATATTATTACAGGGCATAGCTTAAGTCCATACCAGCACAATGGGAAGGACAAATTTAATCTATCTATACAGGTAGATTATATTTACTTTGAGTTTTCTATTTCTGTTGCACACAGTTCGTTAAGGATAAGGCTGACTCCCCCCATCTTTTCTGGATGTGGCTCCAGACAATGTAAATGAGCCAGAGTTTATACATAGTGCTCGTAGATTGTGGAGGGCTGCCTGCAGGCACCTCCACTTCTTCTGCTTGGTTTCTACAAACAGGGTTTAGATGGAAAGGTACTTGATGAGAAACAGCTTGCATAGACGTCCACAGCTTGGTTTCAGGATAGCTTAGACATGTCTTCAGACCAGCCAGTGAGATGGTTCAGTGAGGTAAAGGCTAATGTCCAGAGTTCCATCTCTAGAACCCCAGGAAGGAAGGAGAGAACCACCTCTAACAAATTCCCCTCTGACATCCACACATGCATAGCCCTCTCCCCTGATATATTTTAAAAGATTTATCTGTTATTTTAAATTAATGTATGTCTCTGTGGATGTGTGTACATGAGTATAAGGGCTCACATAGTTCATAAGTGGGTGTCTGTTCCCTTGGAGCTAGAGTTCCAGTTATGTACCACCCAATGTGGGTACTGAGAATTGAACTGGGGTCCTCTGTAAGAGCAGTACCTACTCTTAACCCCCCCAAAAAAACTGAGAGCCCTCAAATCCCCACACTGAGATGCAATTATTTCTAAAAGCTATATGTTATCTCTTATAGTTGTACTGTTAGTTATTCATTTACTCAGAACCATACTGATAGACACATTTTTGGACTACCATTTTGTGCTTTTAGAACATTTAAGTGACTATTAAGGGAAGTTTTTCATGTTTTGAGCCTAGGAATATATAGTTTTATACAGGGTGAGGTCCTGGTTCATTCTCCAAATGACACACTTGGATATATAATTACAAAACAACTAAGTAATTTTACTAGGTTTTTAAATTTTTTTTTTTTAATGTTTATTGGTGTTTTGCCTCCATGTATGTCTGTGTGAAGGTATCAAAACTGGAATTGGAGTTACAGACAGGTGTGAGCTGCTACATGGCTGCTGGGAATTGGGTGCTGGGAATTGAATCTGGGTCCTCTGGAAGAGCAGCCAGTGCTCTTAACCACGGAGCCATCTCTCCAGCACCACTAGGTTTTTTTTTGTTTTGTTTTTGAGATAGGGTTCCTCCGTGGCTTTGGAGCCTGTCCCAGAACTCACTCTGTAGACCAGGAGTGGTCTAGAACTCACAGAGATCCACCTGTCTCAGCCTCCCAAGTGCTGAGACTAAAGGTATGTGCCACCACCATCTGGCTACTATTGATGTCCTTTTTTATAACATTTTTTTTTTCTGTTTTGTGTTTGCCTATTGACTTATGACATGTTCTTTGCTCATTTTTCTGTTAGGTTGCTATTTTCTTTTTTGTGTGTGTATTGGGGGATGGGTGGGGGTTGAGACAGGGTTTCTCTGTGTCCTGGAACTTGCTCTGTAAACCAGGCTGGCCTTGAACTCACATATTCACCTCTACCTCCCAAATGCTGGGACTAATGGTATATGTCACCACCACCTGGTTCTAAGGGCTCTGTTTTCATTCTGGTTAAGTTGTTGATAGTTGCCTGCCTTCCTTCCTTCCTTCCCCTGACTCCTCCTCTTTTTTTAATAGCTTCTTTGTTTTCTGTCTTTCTACATGTTTCTCAGTTATTAATGTAGTTACACATGTGGACAGGTGTGATTTTTTTTTTTTTTTTTGAACTTTAAATCACTTGAGCTGTAAGGGTTGGAGATAGGAAACCAACTCTCCTAACACCATTTATGGAGTAATTTATCATCATCCCATTTCATATGCTGTGATCAGACCCTATTTATTTCTACAGTATACATTGTTAGCATTGACCTATTTAAAGAGCACTATGTCTACATGGTCTCTCCTGTCCCTGCTCCTCCCCTCATCCCTTCTTCCTGTACTGGGATTACATTGAAACCCTCTTGTATGCTGGGCAATGCTCTATCATTGATCTATCCCAACTCCTTTTCTTTTTGATGTTTGATTTTTGACACTGGGTCTTGCTAAGTTGCCTAGGCTGACCTTGAAAGTTTTTCTGTATCCTGTTCAAGGCAGCCTTTGAAGTTCTGTTCCTCCAGCTTTGCATACCAAGTAGCTGGGATTACAGGCCTGTATCACTAGACTTGGCTAAAAAATTTATGTGTTCTGGTTTCCCTCCTTCCAGTTTTCAATAGTACAGGTGAGGTGTTTCTCCCCCACCCCCAAACTAGGGCAAATCTACTTTTGTGGGCTTCCCATTGCTGTTTGGGTAAAGACCTGATCCTCAGTTTGTCCTAAAAGACCTCTGTGGCCTGACTCCTTTTGTCCCTCCTCCCCCTGTTCACAGTTTCATTTGAAGTCATCCTTCCTTCCTGCATGGATTTTGAACTAAGACTCTTCTAGACAGCAAAATGGGTCAGTCTCAATACACACCTGATTTTTCCCATTGCTCAGGGATGTTTAAAAAAAAGTAGCTTGAAACCCACTGTATTCATTTTAAGGAGATTTATTTTGAGAGAAAGAGAGAGAGAGAGAGTGTGTGTGTGTGTGTGTGTGTGTGTGTGTACATGTGTGCCCTCAGTGAGTACACTTGTTCTGTGTGTGGATGTGTGTACTTGAGTGCATGATCCCATGGAAACCAGAGACAGCAGAACCTTCTGGAACTTGAGTGACAGGCTATTTGAGCTGCCCAGTGTGGGTGCTTGGAATCTAATTCCTTCTGCAAGTACAGTTTATGCTCTTGACTACAGGGTCATCTCTCTAGCCCCCGTTTTATGCATTTTATCGAGTGTCTCAAACTTGTTTTAGTCAGAAGGATAAATCTCTTTGCTAGTATTTCATCCCAGAATCTCATTTCTTTTGTTTTTCAGAATGTAACAATGAGTCTCTAGCTATTGTCTTTATTTAATAAAAAAAAATTATTAGGTTTCTTCATGTATATGAATGTTTTGCGCATATATATATATATACATATATATATATGTATATGTATACATGTGTACCACACATATGCCTGGTCAGCAGATGGCATTAGCTCCCCTGGAACTGGGGTTCTAGATAGTTGTAGGCCAAACTATGTGGGTGCTGAGAATCAAACCCTGATCCCTGCAAGAGCAGCAAGTGCTCTTAAATGCTAAGCCATTTCTCCTATCCCTGTTGCCATTATTTTAAATTCCATAAACATTGATATTTAAGATACCTCATTTTTCTTTCAGATTATTACTTTTTATTTTTAAATTTTTTTACATATGTATACTTGTATATTTGCATGCTTTTCTATATGCCACATGCATGCAGTAGCATATAGAGGCCAGAAGAGGGTGTTAGATCTCCCCTGGAACTGGAATTTCAGAAAGTTCTGAGCTGCCCAGTGTGCTTCTAACTCCCTGGCCATCTCTCTGTACTCCCATCCCCCTTTTCTAATTATGTTGCTCAGGTTAGCTTCAGACTTGTATATTTCAGGCTCCTAAATTCTGGGATTATAGGCATGTGCTACCATACTCAGGCAATCTACTTTCTTGATAGCATAAAGATTGTTTTAAAATTTAAAATTTTATTTCAGTAAATAAAATAGGCCATAACATCAGAGGCAGGTCCAGTTAGAGCACCCAAAGATACTTTATAGAAAGTTGGGCTGGTGGCAGAAGGAGCCAGTAGCTTGTAGATGTTCATAATTCATATGGTAAAATTGTAATTATTGTATAGTAGGAATAGTTTCATAAGGTATATACCATTAGTAAACATGGACTACACATAGCTGAAGTGAAGATTATGCATCCATGCAGTATATGATTTTTTCATATTTGAAGAGAAACTCATCAGTACTCTTAACTATTTTTTTCTTTCTTCCTAGATTTAAATAGTTGAGTAAGATCAAGCTGGGTAACCATGGCTGAAGGTGGATTTGATCCCTGTGAATGTGTTTGCTCTCATGAACATGCGATGAGAAGACTGATCAATCTGGTGAGATGAGCTGAGCAGTCATCCTGTTTAGAACTGATCTGTGTGCGTCCTGGGCTATGAGATTAGTGTTTGTCTCCATTACATTTTTATTACAGCGGTAGATCATAACAACCTTCCCTCATGAAGGAACGTCAAGGAAGGAGCTCAAGGCAGGAACTGAAGGAGAGTCCACGGAGGAACATTGCTTAATCACGTGTGCCCCATGACTTGCTTTGCTTAGCCTGCTTTTTTAACAATCCAGGAATGGCTCCACCCACAGTGGGCTGGGCCTTCCCCTAACAATCAGTGGTCAAGAAGATGTCCCACAAGTTACTCACACCCATCACAGGCTGATGTGATAGAGACATAGTCTCAGTTGAAGATCCTCCTTCCCAGAGGACCCTCATTTCTATGTAGTAGACCAAAAAACCAAACCAACGAGCAGAAAGGCTAATAGAGAATTTTATCCAGATAGTCACTAAAAAAGTTTGATAATGGCAACTCCCTGGTGAATTAAGACATAATGATAAAATACTTCCAGCACTTGTTTTATTAGAGACAAAAACTGATTATTTTCTTTACTTCTTATAGGTTTGCTTATTTATCTAAGGATATTTGACATCCTGGTTAGTTAACCACAATTATGTTGAGCCTGTTGTATTCATGTTGGAACAGATTATTGTTTTCTAGTTATGTGAAACCGTATGTCCTTCCTTATATACACAGTTCAGTCCTTCTCCAACATAGATTAGACAGCAAGTCTCCTAGAAACAGATTCTACATCTAATAAGTTGTAGAAATAAAAATAATTTTTCAGCTGCCTGATGTTTTAAAGAACATATAGTATATTGAGAGAATGGGAGATTTACACTGTACTTTTAAATTTTTAGTAAATGTGTATATTACATATTAGAAAAAACAAAATTTAAACAAAAACATACACATGGAAAAGTTTGGTGAGTCTGTTTTGTGGCTTAAGTGTCTTGTGTTTTCCCTTGTAGTAATTTTAGCGTGTTTGGATGATCCCTTTTGGATTCAGAGCATTTTGCTTCAGATCTTTTGCTTCCATTTGGGCTCAGCAAGACTGATTGTCTTAGAGAGTAACTTAAAGAATGGCTTCTTAATTCCAGTTCTACTCATGAGACTGCAGTTTGTGTAGTACAGTAATAATAGTGCTTATTGGATCGTTACTGCTCTTCACATGCGTCATCCATGCTGTTCCCTAATGGTACCCTGATTAATAAATAGGTGGTATTCATGTCCCCATTTTAGTCAATGAACAAGCTGAAGTTTAGAGGAGTCAGTAACTTGGCCAAAGTCTTGAAACACCACGAAGTTCCCTCACTTGACTTTAAGGCATTCTGTGGACCCCATGCTTAGCCAGCTTAGGAGTTGTTCTGCAGATTGCTGCTCTACAAACAGTTGTACTTGGCTGTTGTGGGATATTTGTACACTGTATGAAGGTGTATTGCTGTGATTAATGTAATAAAAAATCTGAACAATACCCGGGCGGTGGTGATGCATGCCTTTAGTCCCAACACTTGGGAGGCAGAGGCAGGAGGATCTCTGTGAGTTCAAGACCAGCCTGGTCTACAAAGTGAGTTCCAGAACAGGCTCCAAAGCTACAGAGAAACCCTGTCTCGAAAAAACAACAACAACAAAAACAAAAAACTGAACAACAAATTGCTAGGCAGGAGGTATAGGTGAGATTTCCAGGGAGAAAGAAAGGAATAAGAGGAATCTAGGGGGGTTGGAGAGATGGCTTAGGGGTTAAGAGCAGTGACTGCTCTTCCAGAGGTCTTGAGTTCAATTCCCAGCAACCACATGGTGGCTCACAACCATCTGCAATGAGTGCTGGTGCCCTCTTCTGGCCTGCAGTCTCTGTATACATAATAAAAATAAATCTTTAAAATAAAAATAATTTAAAAAAAAAAGAGGAATATAGGTGGACAGGAGATGGCAGGAGACACAGAGAGGAAATAGGATGTACAAGGTTTGAAGAGAGGTAATGCCACATGATAGAATGTATATTAATATCAGTGGGTTAATTTAAGTTATAAGAGCTAGTTAGGCACAAGCCTAAGTTATTGGCCAAGCTTTCCTAATTAGTAAGTTTCCATGTGATTATTTGGGAGTTGACTGATGGGACAGAAAAAGACTTGTTACACTGTAGGTGTCATGTTCTTCACTGTCTACCATTCAGTTGTCTCTAGTGAGATTTTCATTTCCCAACAACCTACCTGAAAGATCTTAGCCTAAATTGAACATTCATAATGTGACTTGTGCAGTTGTGACTGATGGTTTTTAAAATATTTTAAATACATAATCTCATGGTTCCAAAACAAATTTCATAGTTGGACATGGTAACATGTTTTTGAAATCCTAGCCTTTGGGAGGTAGAGGCAGGGAAGATCAGGAGCTTATGATCATCTGCTATGTAGTGGGGCTAGTCTGGACTACATGAAACCCTGTCTCAAAAAAATTAAAGGGCCTGGAGAGATGGCTCAGCAGGTTAAGTGAACTACAAGCTCTTCCAGAAGACCAGACCAGGGTTCAATTCCCAGCACCCATGTGGTAGCTTAAAACCTGTAACTCCAGATCCTGCTGCCCAGTGCTGATCTCTTTTGGACCTCAGGCATAATGTTTTAACTTTTTTTTTTTTTTTTTTTTTTTCGAGATTTCTCTGTATTGCTTTGGTGCCTGTCCTAGAACTCGCTCTGTAGACCAGGCTGGCCTTGAACTCACAGATCACAGATATCTACCTGCCTCTGCCTCTGCCTCCTGAGTTCTAGGACTAAAGGCGTGTACCACCAACACCCGGCTGTGTTTAAACTTTTTAAAAACTGATTTGCTTATTTGTTGTGTCATGCTAGGAATTACATGCAGGGCTGCAAGCATGCTGAGCTAGCTGCAATGCTGAGTTCTACCGCTCCCCATGCCCCAAACTCATGTTGGTGGCTCAGCAGCTGTCCTTTCCTCTCATTGCAGCTTCGGCAGTCCCAGTCCTACTGCACAGACACAGAATGCCTCCGGGAGTGTAAGTACCAGAGTGAAGTGGGAGGGTGGGGCCAGGCACAAGGAAGGTACACGGCCTGGAAGAGGCAGCAGACAGTGTTCCCCTTTGAATTCCCTCTCTCTCTCTCTTTCCCTCCCTCTTTCTCTCTCCCTCCTTTCTCCCTCCTTCCTCCCTCTCTCCTTTCCTCCCTCCTCTCCCCACTCCCGCACAGGGTTTCTCTGTGTAACAGCCCTGGCTGCCATGGACTGTAAACCAGGCTGGCCTTGAACTTACAGAGGCCTCCTGCCTCTGTCTCCTGAGTGTTGGGATTAAAAGCATGCCCCACCATCACCCAGCATATTGTTTTTATTTTTTAAAAACAGTTTCCCGGGAAAAGATGGCTCGGAGGTTAAGAGCTGTGGCTGCTATTCCAGAGGTGCTGAGTTCAATTCCCAGCAACCACATAGTGGCTCAACAAGATCTGGAGATTTGGTGCCCTCTTCAGGCATGCAGGAATGTATTTGCAGGCAGAACACTGTATATATAATTAATACATAAATCTTTAAAGGGGGAAAAAAATAGTTTCACATACCCCAGACTGGCCTAGAACATCTGATTGCATGGCCTCCAGCTCCCAATGTGCTACAATTACCATCTTGACTGACTTAGTTTATTTTATGGTGAGTGGTTATATATTTGCTTAACACACTCAAAAGCATTTTTGCTGCTTCAAGTGTGGATTCAGGCTCCTCAAGAAAGAGTCATCACCTTCTTACAGCTCTTCTGTGTGGACGGTAGTACATGCTTAAAATCTCACATGGGAGGCCAAGGCAAGAGAATGGTGAATTCTAGGCTATCCTGTGGTACATGGCAAGACCCTGTGTGAAAAAAAAAACAACATAACTCTCCCTTTGTAGCTTCTTCAGCTAAAAACATGTTTGTGAGAGACTAATAGGACCAAGGAGTTGCTGGCTTCCAAGGGTGGGGATGTATGGGAGGTAAATGCATGGGAAAGAATTTGTGAGACATTTTCAGGTTCTACTGTACATCTCCATCTTCACTAAAGAATTTATATTTCATCATTAGGCAAGAAAACTAGTTTATGGGAGTCTCTCTTGTTTCTTTCTTTTTTTATTCCAAAACAGGATTTCTCTGTGTAGCCTTGGTCACCATAGAACTTACTGTGTAGACCAGGCTGGCCTCGAACTCACAGAGATCCACCTGCCTCTTCCCCCTGAGTGCAAGGATAAAAGATGTATGCCGCTCTACTACCACCAAGAGGGAGTTTTTCTTCAATTTATTTGGTATTTCTAACCTGATTCAAGCTCAATATAATTTTTTTTTTTAAATTCAAAAGGCATACTTTGGCCATTCTGAAGTCTCCTGCACACATTTGAAAGCTTTGACTGCCAGATTATGTTGTCTTCATTTTTTGTGTGATAGTAGTTTTCTAACCTTGGGTCTTGACAGTGCTGGGGCAGGTATTCTGCTTCTGACCTACATTTCTAGCTCCAAATTACATTTATTAATAGGTTAGTTGTTTATATTTAGCATCAGGTGCTAATCTCTGTCTAACTCTCCCTCTCTGTCTCTCTCTCTCTCTCTCTCTCTCTCTCTCTGTGTGTAGGTCAGAGATAGACTGAATCAAGTATATTATTCCTCAATCAATCACTCTCCACCTTTAATCCAAGCACTTAGGAGGCAGAGCCAGGTGGATCTACAAGGGCTCAAGGCCAGCCTGATGTACAGAGTTCCAGGACAGCCAGGATGACACAAAGACTTATACAACAGACTCGCTTCCAGCAGTCCTTATGTGCACCCATGGTCCTGAGGCCAGCTGTACAATTGTCTTTAGAGTAAATAAGCTTGGAAACTGATAGCTGACTCCCACAAATTATCTTCTTACCTCCCCACAAAGAAATGTTAGTCTGGGGATATAGTTCAGTGCTAGAGGGTTTGCCTAACTTGTCTAACCAGCACTCAGAAAAGAAAGAAAATAAATAAAAAAAAAAAAAAAAAAAAAGGAGAAAATCTATCAAGCCTTGAAGGTCAAGAAAATCGCATCTATTCAGATTTTCAAGCATTGCTGCCTACTCCTGCCCATCCCTTGTTCTTCCTCCCTCTACTACCAATGTAGTTTGTCACTAAGGGCTGTGTTTCTTTGTTCTGCCACCATTTGTATTTGATTTTGATGCTTCATTGTCTTATCCTACTACAGGATTATGTCTACCAGAATCTACATTTTACTAAACTGTGATTGGTCCGATTGCTGATAGTGGATGTTTGTCCAATATATACTGTGTAGCAGATCATTCTGTTTTTTGTGGCCTACCCATTTCACTGCTCCCTTATGAGGTGATGGAAATGTTTACCTTTCACAATTAAAGAAACCAAGGCACTAGGATCAAATAGCTGAAAGTTAATAGTCAAGTAGCTACAAGATGATCTCAACTCTTAAAAAGTTAATGACCTAGGCAACAACCGGAGCTGAGCAATTGCTCAGTACGTCCAAGGCCCTGAGTTTAATTCCCAGTGTGGGAAGATAGCAGCAACAATTATCAACTAATTAGGAAAACTGGGAAGCCATTTCTTCAATTAAGAAATGCCATGATACTTTGGAGAAGGCAGCAGAACAGTAGCAGAAGGGATGGGTTTTGGTTTTTTTTTTTTTTTTTTTTTTTTTTTTTTTTGTTCTTTTTTTGGTTTTTCGACACAGGGTTTCTCTGTGGTTTTGGAGGCTGTCCTGGAACTAACTCTTGTAGACCAGGCTGGTCTGGAACTCACAGAGATCCACCTGTCTGTGCCTTCAGAGTGCTGGGACTAAAGGTGTGGGATTGTTTTAGGGGAGAGGCTAAGAGATGGCATTGTTTTAGGGGAGAGGGAGGTAGTAAATGTGAACACATGCCAGACGGGGTGGAGGATATGGGATGCTTTGGAAAGACTGAGTTTGCATAGTTCCCTGCCAGGGTAGTATTGAATTATTATTACATCATACTGATTTGGGAAGGTTTTAAAAAAAAATTTGACCATACCCATATGTTGCTCCTGAATCAGATGGTCTGACACAGGGCCTCAGAATTTGTTTTTGGTTGTGAGCCTAGCCTTTAACGGCTGAGCCATCTCTCCAGCCCTAGGGCCTCAGAATTTGTAATGTGGATCACAGGCCTTACTTATGTACTGCCAGACCAGGAAAACATTGGCTCAAAAATATAGAGTAACTAGGGAAGATAATGTTGGAGGAAGTGAAGATAAGTAGGGCCAAGTCACACCAGCAAAGGTCAAGCCAGTGTGCTCAGAGTCAGATCGATAGGCAGTGGTTACTACTGGGCTGGTCAGCAGAGAGGTTCGTGTTACTGGTGTGATGATACACACTTGTCTGGGAGTTAGGGAAAGGAAAATCAGGAATGTGAGGCAACTCAGGCTACTCTGGAGACCTGATGATAACGGATGATGGATAGACCCTGTGTAAGAAAATTAGGACTCAACAAAGTTCAAGTATGATGGCTCAGCTGATATAAGTAAAGGCTTGTGTTCTGAATTCAATCCCCATGACCCACATGGAGGAAAGGCAGAACCCTTTGTGTGCTGCACATACAAATAAAAAATAATTGTTTTTGAGACGGGATTTCTCTGTAGTCCTCTGTTGTCCTGGAATTTGCTCTATACACCAGGCTGGCCTTGAACTCATAGAAATCACTTCTGCCTCTGGAGTACTGGGATCAGAAGTGTGCACCACCACACCTAGCTCCATAGGTATTCTTCATCTTGCTTCTTTAGATTTGTGGTTTTCTGAGTCCATGAACCTTCTGCATTCAATACAAAACTGTTGAATGTGTGTAGCCCATGGAGTGTTGGCTGGGCAGGTGAAGGGCACACACTGCATACTCTTGCAGCTAACCAGAGTTCTGTTTCCAGCACCCATGTTAGGTGGCTCACAATCTGCTCCAGCTCTGGGGACCCAACCCATTTGGCCTCTACCGGCACCTGTGTACACATGCTCATCCACATGATAAAAAGTAAATACAGTTGTAAAGAACTATTAGAAGTCTTTATTGTACTTTGGTTTGTGACTAATGTAAGTTATACCTTATAGATTTTCTCACTTGAGGGAAAGGGAATTTGAAACATACTAGTTTACAGCTGTACCCTAAATTATTAGTGCTTTTCTCAATGTGATTTTTAAACATAGAATCTGTTTTACCTTCATCTTACAATATCACACTCAGGGTCAGTTTTGCTACAGATGCTTCTCTTCTTTGTCCTCAGTGCCAGGACCCTCTGGTGACAGCGGTGTCAGCATTACTGTGATCCTGATGGCCTGGATGGTGATTGCAGTGCTCCTGTTCTTACTCAGGCCTCCTAATCTGAGAGGCTCCAGCCTCCCTGGGAAACCCTCCACTCCTCACAGTGTAAGAATGACTTATCCTTTCTGGATAGTGTGGGGGTGTTTGTTTATCCAAAGGAAGACTTAATCCTTGCACTAAATTCTTTCAGTGTAGTCATAATAAAATTTTCAGTCCCCAGTTGTCTTTTCTTAAGATAAACATACAAAACAAAGCTAACAAGCAGAGCTAGGTGTGGCTCATCTGTAGCCTCTGCATTTGGGAGGGTGGGTCAGGAGGATTACCACAAATTCAAGGCCTGCCTAGTGAGTTCTGCCTACTGAGATCCTATTTCCGGGAGCAGATGGGTATCTACAAAATGACACAGCATCTAGAAAAAAAAGTTTTCAGGATGGGAATGTGGTTTGGTTGGTAGACTGCTTGCCTAGCATTCAGGAGGCTCTGCATTGGCTCCTTAGTACCTCATAAACAGGGTGTGGTGTCACACAGCTCCTTTTTTTGAGGCCTTTTGTTGTTAATGTTATAACTTATTAAAGGAAAGCAAATATTCAGTGAGAACTGAGCTGCACCATGGAGCTTTTAGTAGAACAACAGACTTGGCACACAGACTTGTAGGTGTACTCTTTAATCCCGACACCTGGGAGGCAGCTAGAGTTGGATCTCTGAGTTCAAGGTCAGCCTAGCCTACATGGTATGAAGCTGTCAGTCTTAGGAAGGGAGGAAGGAATAAAAGAAAGCTTTAATGTACTTCAGACTTTTGTTGGAATGGGGAATGTGCATAAAAATCTTACATATGTGAAATATTTCTTTCTTAGCCGTTTTTCCTACATTGCATGTACACCTTTATTATTTTTGAGTCAGGGAGCAATTACTACAATGTTTAAAGATAAAGAAATCCAACTTAACCTAACTTAGAAGCCATCACAGGTGACACACCCCCTGGATCTTACTGGTCCTAGGAACAATAGTTTCTGTATCCTAAGCAAGGACAGAAAAAAATAAACTGCAGTAGAAATGCTACTCATCCTTACAGAGCATGCCAGGGTAAGTAAATAAAGCCTTCCCAACAGTCCCAAAATCTCCATTCTTTACTCTCCCTCTCTCTTTCTGTTTTTGAGATAAAGTCTCACTGTATGGCCCAGATAGCCCTGATCTCATTTTGTAGCTCAAGCTGGCCTCAAACTCAGGATCCTCCTACCTTAGTCCATATAGTTGGCATAGCTTTTATCTTCTAATTCAGATGCTTTCTATTGCAAGTAGCAAAAACCAACAGAAAGATGGAATTATTGGTTAACACTTCAAAAATTCAGTTAGGCTCAGTGTTGAGAATATTTAACAATTCAAAGCAGAACACTGTAACCCCAGCACATAGGCTACCTAACAAATCCCTCCTGCCTCAAAAAAAAAAAAAAAAAAAAAGAGCTGGGCCTTGGTGGTGTACGCCTTTAATCCCGACACTTGGGAGGCAGAGGCAGGTGGATCTCTGAGTTTGTGGCCATCCTGGTCTACTGAGCTAGTTTCAGGACATCTCCAAAGCCACAGAGAAACCCTGTCTCGAAAAAAAAAAAAAAAAAAATTAACAGTGTTATTGTAAATCCAGTTTCCGGGCTGAGGAGATAGCTAACAGGTAGAGTGCTTCCCAGTGTGCATGAAGTCAACCTCTGAGACATGTGAATCATAGTCTAAGTACATGCATACACAAATACATGTATCCCTACGTGTATACAAGAGACCTATTCTGAATATCTATATGTATGAATGCATTTGTGAAAGCATGGTTAGTTTCTTTCCTCTTACCACAGGCTTCATTGTAAGGTGGGCTTTCCACATAGTGGTAAGATGGTTGCCACAAGCACCCGAGCTACATTCTGGTAAATATTCCACAGTGAGAAATAGAAGTCTCTAGTTGTGGGCATACTGCACTTAGCCAGTCACATTAGTGAAAGGATTGACATTATCTCAAGGTGGCTGGGATAATCATATCACTATTGCAGCCTCCCTTTCTTTCTCATACCACATGCAGGAATGGGGCCAACACAGACTAACACTGTATTTACCTTATATTCACACGAAGAGTGCAAGTATGAGTTTAGTAAGAAGGGGCTGGGGGACAGGTGTGCTGCTCCTTTTGTACTTATTAGATGTATTAAAAGTCACTTAACCCATTCTTTTTTAATGCCAGGGACAGGACCCGCCCGCCCCTCCTGTGGACTAACGTTGATGTGGGAAGCAGAGATTGTTAAATGCTGTGCACGACCAAATGACTGAAGATGACCAGAGTACTCTTAACTTTTCCCTTTTCCATCTGCAATTTGGGATGGTATTGTTTTCATGAGCTTCTAGAAATTTCACTTGCAAACTGACTTTTGCTTCCTGTGTTGCCACAGTTCTTCTTTACAGTATCCCTGAGTAAATGATTCTATTGGAAAGTCCAATGGTTGGCCTAAGCTTAAAACATTCCACTCGTTGTCCCTGGAACCGTGGTCATAATGTCTGTGGTGGTTTCTGGCCCAATTGAAGGAAAATTGAGATTTCTGCATTTAAATATTTTAAGTGGGTTTAATAGATTTTAATTTTTTTCATAAGGTATTTATTTGGGGTTATCTAGTGTGAATGACAGAGCCATAGTGTATTTACTTTACTTGGCAGTTTATTCATGGGTGGCAGTTTTCTGTAGTTCTTGGGACAGTGACATTTTTAGACTATTTCCCTCAGAGCCTGCAGCTGAGATCTGGGGTGCAGCTGGCTCATGTGGCTAGAATAGGAAAAGTGAACTGGTTCTTTACTGATTTTTTAAAAAAATTCCCATTAGGAATTTCTGATGTTAAGAATACATACTTAAATAAACATGATTGATTAATATAGTGGTTGCTTTAAAGTCCGTTACCTGTTGTTGGAAGCCACTGTACGCTGGCCTTACATGGCTCATGAAAGGAAGAGTTGCCAGGTACACTCTGTCTATCCTGGCTAACATGGGTATATTGTGTTTTAGGGAATGCCTCTCAGCAAGCGCCTCCTCCATTCCAACACTTATCTGTTAAAATGAAGTCATCTTACATCAGTGTGTGGGGTTGACATTTTAATACCTACCTACTTACTTATGTTCATACCTTATTTGGTTAAAAAAATGAGTCTTTTGTTGCCCTTCTGACTTAAGAAGAAAAAGGAGTCTTTAATATGAGACCTTGGTTTATTCCCAGGCAAAAGAGGAAAATGGCAAACAAGAATATTTCTCACCTCTCATCTCGATTCTGTTTCATGATGGGTTGGGGATGTATTGGAGTGGGAAGTAGCATGAGCTTGCATTGTTCTCAGTTCAAAAAGCAGTGAATACAAGTGGTATTTAAACATGCATGGATGGCCTGGAATGTTTGTCTAGGAAGTAGCTTCATTTGTTGGGACCAGAACCTATTTTGCTATCAATGTAGAGATTTTCTTGCCCGGGTTAGTCTAGCTGCCACTGTACAGATCTGAGAAACTTTATGTGAACTAAATAAACTTCTCTATCATTACGCCATTGATGGGCCTGTGACCTGGCTCTGTGACACTCACTGGTTATTTCCTCTATGTGGTGGTTACTCTCTGGCCCATAGCATGGTTAAGGGCATCACTTTGTCCTGTGCTGTGACACTGGCTGCTGGTGTCCTTCCTAGCTCACTTGGCTTTGTGCTCAACACTTGAACTAATAGAACCACCCTTGAGGAGGTACTTGTGCTTATAACAGGGTGACTTAGCCCAGGTAAGTTAAATCCTGAACAAATGAACACCACAGGGTCAATGAAGGGTTTCTTTTTGGCTGTGGCCTCATAGCTGGCTATCACTTCATAGCTGATAGCCAGTTTAACACAAAAACCAGATATGGCAGCAGTCTTGACGCCAGACTAAATTATTTGTGAAGTTCAGTCGTGTTGAACTGTGTAGGAGGACCTTGCCATAAGACACCCCATAAAGGAAAAACAGGATGAGGGACTTAAAGGTAAACAAAATTAGAATGGCATCAAATGGAGTAAAATCCCTGCAGCACTCTTTTCCCATCCTTACCCTTTAACTTTGAAGGCCGCACACCTGCCCCAATGGTGTTTTCTAACCTGCTGAAGGGAGATTGGATGGAGAGCTGATGTGTTGACTCAGTCTGCCTCACCTTGACCTAAAAAAAAGACAAAATGTGGATACAGAACATCTACTGTTAGAGACCAGGAAATGTGGATTCTTATTCTAGGTGTTCATTTTGATCACATGTACTCACTGTATCTAAATACCTTAGCCTCAAAATTTTACTTTCCAACCCAACCCTGAAAAGGCTTAATTACATGTATGATCATAACTGTAGAAATCTCCAGGGCCGCAGACATGGTTCAACCATTAAAGCCTAGGCTCACAACCAAAAATATAAGAAAAATCCACTCCAGACACATCAATGCCTGTTAACAGTTGAGTTTCTTGAGAAATACATACTTGGTCTTGGGTTTTGTTTTTCTTTTTAATCTTTGTCATTTTGTTTGCTCTGGAAATTTTCTATATTCCTAAAATGGTGGTATCCTGCATAGAATATTATTATTGTTAACCTCACTAGTAACATATTATTCTCTTCTTGAAGCTTCTACATGTTTTAATTGAACATATTCTTACACTGTTATTTGGCTTGCAAACATTTACTTGATCTGTAGCTATAATTCGCTTAAAATAGAGAAAGTAAACAAGGAAGCTTATATCCCTGTCACTCTGGGCTGTTTGTGCTGTCTGGAGTCCATTTGAGAGTCATTTCATACTGTTTTACACAAAATCTAGTAGTTTTGTTTTTCCGTCTTCCACACATGATAGGTTAAAATTGGGATTGTTGGTAGGAAAAGGTTTTAGCATGTATCTAAACACTATCCCGTGGTTAGTAAGTTTTACAGTATGCAAGGATCCCTAGAGAGTCCACTGAGGGTCGCTGCCCCATGGTTCCATTAGTGTCTGTGAGAGTGCTTATAAACTCACCAACATCACAACATTAAATTTTTGAAGGAATTGTGGAAGCCTGTTATTCTAAGTGAAAGTCTGTCTCTCGGTGATTTTGTGCTCAAATTTGACCAGCTCAGTTTAAAGCACAAAACATCAGCTTGAAGAAGGAAAAGTGAAGAGAGTTAACAGCACATGGTTTAAATTTTGTTGTTACAATAGAAAATAGGAAGAGTCTTAACATTTCTCAGTGAAGAACCCTGAGTATACCTTATATGTCCAATGGTTATTTGTTAAAGTAGAAGTGGTCATACGATGCACTAAATGTAACTTGCTGTTTCTAAATGTTTAAATCATGCCAAACAAATCAGTCCGTGCCATCCAGCATTTATTGTTAATCTTTTACTGAGTACTTGGATTGGGGCAAAGGGCTTGTACTATGCACTTTTTATTAATGAATAAATAGAAAATGTTAGTAACACTGTTTTCTGTTTGACTTTTGTGGGGAAAGATACTTCTTCTACTTAACAAAGTACTAACATCCTGGGTTTCTAGTTAAAACTTCTCTACTCAAAATATACTCCTAAGAGATAAGGAAAATATTCACATAAAAGCCTGGGATGAAGCTCAGTTGGTAGAGCTGTCATGCATGAATCTCTGGGTTTTTTACCCCACACTTCAGAAACAAGGCATGATGGCACACATCTGTAATCCCAGCCCTTGGGAATCAGGAGTCCAAGGCCACCCCGTGACATAGCAAGTTTAAAGGCAGCCTTGGATGCAGAAGACCTTGTTACAATTTTAGACAAAAAGTATGGGGTCAGTATTCAAAAGGTAGGGTCTAAGAACCACTAGGAAGTTGCAGTACATTTCTTTGGTTATCTTTTTCTTCCTAGAATATGGTCAAACAGATATTTTCTTTGAGGGAGTAATATACAGTAGCTTTCTGAGCAGACATTTGTATCCAGAGCTGGACTTGTAACTGCACTGAAATCACACAAAAGTAAAAATTTGCTCTGACCTAGAAGGTGTCCAGACACAAAAGTGCATGATAGTGTAAGGCATGGGGAAATGCCTTTTGTGTCCAGGGATTTGGGTACTCTTTAATCTAACTGAACTGGTTAGTTGAACAATTATAGGAGCTTGGTGTTGGGCCAGTCCTGGAGGGTGTATTTCTTCTGACAGAGGGTGAGGCACCAAGATTTTGCTGGGTAACTATAAGTCAGAGAAGATGATGGAGAAGGTTCTCTGTTGTTAAATGCCCTTTAAGCTACCCCCAGCAACCAGGACAGGACCTACTTATACCTTTAAATTTTTCTAACTTTTTTTTTAATATCTGGGGCTGACTTGGTGAAAAAGGAAATCTTTATATTTACTTATTAATTAATTAATTTTCCCTTGACAGGGTTTTTCTGTGTATCCCTGGCTGTCCTGGAACTCATTCTATTGACAGGCTGGCCTTGAATTCAAAGAAATCTGTCTGCTTCTGCCTCTTAAACTGTGGGATTAAAGGTGTGTGCCACCATCACCACCTTTAGTAGTTATATTTAATCCTTTAAAAAGGACCTAACATGGAGAAATGCCCAAATAGCTCTATGATTGTGGTGCCAGTCCCTGAGCATTACCTGTTTTTGAGACAGTCTTAGTATGTAGCCTAGGCTAGCCTCAGACCCTCCATCCTTCTACTTCAGCCTCTCTAGTGCTGGGGTTACAAATAAGTGTCATATCCAGCTAAATATCTTAAATAGTACTGAAAATATCAAAATATGATGGCATACACTGAAAGACCAACTTAGCTACTGGGAATGCAGAACATGAGCTTTCCTTGAGCAAGAATCCCATTTAAAAAACAAAACACTAGACTGATTATGTAGCTTAGTGGTAGAGTGTCTGGTTAGCAGCAAAAGGCCATCCCAGTACCACAAAAAGCCACATGGGGCTGAGGAGATACTTCAGCCACTAAAGTGCTTTCCTTATAAACATGAGGGTCTGAGTTTGGATCAACTGAGCCAGGTGTGGTAGTAAATGCCTGTAATCCCAGTGCCAAGGGGACAGACAGGAGGGTCCTTGGGACTTGCTGGCTAGCTGCACTGACTTAATCAATGAGCTACAGAACCAGTGAGAAACACTGTCAAAAATTAAGATGGAGTGATCAACTTCTGGCCTCCACATGCATACACATTTGCACCTCGCATGTGTAACTAACTGTATGTGCACATACATGTTCACACATCAAAACAAAAAAAATTTGTGAAGTATATGACTTCTTGGAGAGGCAATAGTTCAACCTAAAGTTTGTCATGTATGGGGCTAGGATTGTAGCACAGTAGAGTGCTTGCTTAACATACACAAGGCCCTGGGTTTCTGTCTACAGCACTATATAAAACTAGACATGGTAGTCCATGCCTTTAATTTAACCACAGACAGAGAAATCAGACATTCAAGGTCATACTGAGCTATGTAGCTAGCAGATTTACGTCATCAGCAGCCTGCAGCCCTTGTACGTCAAAGCGTCCCACTATGTCCCTTCTGGGCAATGATACTAGTGACATGGGATCAAGGGAGCAGGGAAAGGTGCAAAAGTGGAGGCCCTGTTGATGAAACTCTTTATGGGACTTAACCTTGACGAGCTCCAGACTCTGAGACGCCTGTGGTTGTATATTTTCACAAGCCAGAGAGCATTATTCTGGACATTTTTACCAAGTCCCCACTGGGAGAAACTCAACCCACAAGAAAAGACAGTTCACCTTCCGCCAGTGCCTGTTGTGTGGTACCATAATACTTCCTGGGTTGCTCTTGGGTCCATCTTATACTGCAGAATTAAATGTGTTCAACATTTGTAGCATCTGCATGATTTTGACAGATCATAAAAGAAAAAAAATTTTAAATAGATTTTATTATCGTTCAGCTAAATTAAACACTTGATCCTCTGCCTCTATGTTCTAAGCACTGGAATTGCAGGTGTGTTTAAGCACCCCCAAGTAAGTAGTACATGGTAATATAATCCAAAGTGTAAAATATCCATGAGCCCTACTGATGCAATTAAGTCATTGAATAAAAGAGAGAAAAGTGCTAAGAAAATGTTTTGTTCTAGAACTAAGGAACCAAAGCTAAAATCATTCTTTTTCATTAATATTTATATTAATGGGCTTGGAATTAGCTGATACCTAATTCCACTGCAGTAGAATTACTTATAACACAGCAATTGTGGACATTTCCTGATACCTAGAAGTAATACATTTTATAATGTGCAATTGCTCTTGTGAGAGTGATGAAGACAAATGGCAGCTGGAGCCTGTCCCATTGGTATGAAAGTCCAGGAAGATAAAAACACTTATCAACTGGTCGCGGTTGTGCCTACCTGAAGCCTCAGTACCTAGGAGGGTGAGGCAGAAAGACCACGTTTAAAGCTAGCTTGTGCCCCAAAGCAAGACACTGTAAGAATATCAAAACCCATGTTAGTAACTAATAAATGACATTTTGCAGGGAATAGCTTTAAAATGTTAATAGTATGAATTTTCATTTCACATGAAACTTTGTGGTGGTCAAGAAAAATAATCGTTTGCAGCCTGAGTTCAAATCCCAGCAATGCATATACACAGTTACTTCTAGTTGTAATGCACAGACAGTACAAAAGCTAACAAAGAAGGTGAGATCGTGTCAGGAACCAGTAATCACTTAAAGAATTCTCTGAGCAGGAGTATGAGTTGAGACCTCACCATGCCTTGTGCGGGAAAGAATGGCAGCAGCAAGTGCCAAGTTTCTGAAAGAACTGACATTCCTGGGATGAGAAAATACGATCAGAGGAGCTCAAAAAGAAGTCTCTGTCTCTTTCCCACCCCGGGACAAAATAAAGTAGTTTATCTTTTATTCACATCCATTGCGGTTTTGTTTGTTTGTTTGTATCTTATGAAAGTCTTTGTTTTAAGGTCTCCAAAGCCAGATACAAACTTTGCAGTCACTCTGAGCATAAAGGAAAGTGATTGGCAGTGCAGACAATGGAATGGTTAATCTCATTCTGTGTACATGCATTGTGTGACTCAGGAAGGGGGCACAGACTGGCAGTGTGTGAAGCTTGGTCTCAACTCCTACCTGACTCCACATACCCCAAAAGAAGGAAAGGAAGGGAGAAAGGGAAGAGGCTAACACGAATGAACCAACCAGCAAGCCGTGGGGATTAGGATAAAAGGTGTTAGTGGCTTTGGCAGGTTTGGGTATTTTGGAGTACCGCCAATAAGTCAGCGATGGCCAGGTGATGGATGAAGGCGAAGATAGAAAATGAGAGTGGCATCTCATCTTGGAGCCTGAGCAGCTGGTGGTTGATCCAAACAGATGGGAAAGGTTTGTGGAAAGGAATTGAATGGTGAGAAGAAGCAAGCTGCCAAGAAATTTTTTAGTTGTGTTGATTTGTTAGAATAAAGACAAAGTGGTTGGCTGGGAGTGGTGGTGTATGCATGTAATCCCAGTGTTTGGAGGCAAGAGGATTGAAGGCTAGAGGCCAGCCAGGGATGGGGAGACACAAAACTCACCCCAGTAATTTAAAACAAACTTGAATGCATACAGCAGTCCAGCAGTGTAAGTGATGTCCAGCTCAAATACTTGCTCACACATTCACAGCCCAGACTCTTACCCTCTTGCTCCTTGTCTCCTAGAGTATAGCGCCTTATGTCTACAAGAGCTAGTTCCAGGACAGCCTCCAAAACCACAGAGAAACCCTGTCTCAAAAAAAAAAAAAAAAGTATAGCTCCTTAAAATGTGACTTGTAACCCTATATGGGGATTGCTTGAGCTGATTGTGGGGGTTGAGAAAAATGACAATAGTAAAAGGTTTTTTGAACGTGCAAAATCAGTCATAATGAATCAGTTGTTTTTGACAATACTCATGTTGCATTGCATGATTTCTCTGGTGCCTTGGTTCTGCACACACAACACATGCACCTTGCACTGTGCATGTAAGGCCATTATGTTATGAATGTCAGTGGCTTTACTGTAGGTAGGTCTTCTGCTCTTAGAGAAATGTAATAGTTCATGAAAAACAAAGATTTTAAATATTTCCTACTATCATTCCTCTGTGTTTATTTAGGTATCAAAATTGTACATCTTTGGTTGCATTCTGTTAGAATGTTAGGTTTTAAACATTGTTGCCCGCTGCTCCTCTCCACCCTTACTTAGCACCATTAGATCTGTTTGTAGGTCTGTGTGTAGGCATAATTTTGGTTTTTGTTCTGCAGAATGGGGTTTGTGAAAGTTTTGAAGAATAGAATAAGGCTTTTTTTTTTTTTTGTTGTTCATTTGGTTTTTCTAGACAGGGTATTTCTGTGTAGTCCTGGCTGTCCTGGAACTTGCTCTGTAGACCAGGCTGACCACGAGATTCCCTGCCTCTGCCTCTGCCTCCTGAGTGCTGGGATTAAAGTCGTGTACCACCCGGCTGACTAAGGCCTACTTTAAGAAATACCAAGATTTAGAAGACATAAAGAGAG